ATTTTTTAATTAAAAATATAATTAATTTTTGTTTTCGATAGTATTAATTATTTTTATGATTTCTTTGGGACCTATAAACCTTCATATCAAATATTATAAAGGAAATTTCACGAAAATTAAATCAAATAACCTTTTAAAAATACTCAAGCCCCAAATATTGTCGTCGTCTGTTAGAATATTTTGCTTTAATAATATTAACTTATACTTATTTCGAGAGTCATAGTTCTAATTGAATTTTTTTATCGGGAAAGGCTTCATTTACTCTCTCAAAAGGGTTTTATGGTGTAGTGATTAATACGAAAAATAAGTTCAATAATTTTCAAAATGAGCATACTATAGTTTTTGCGATATGTTTCAAGGATGAACCTTGAAAATAAATGACATCAAAGCGTCGATAAAGACTTTTGGCTGCGAGGATGACGCAGGATCTAAGCTCTCAAATAAACAAGAAAAATTGGCCGAAACATTCGAGTACTCAAATATATAACTTGCCATCCCAAACGATACAACATTTATTTTCTCGCGAAGTAACATTTTATTTTATAATGCATTTCATTAACCGTCGTCCAAAAATATTTATAACAAACGAACTATTTTATTTATGAATGAAATGGGTTTCTATTAAATTATGATGTCTAATAATCATTTATATCCAAAAAATAACATAAACCAAGTTTAAAAATATACTCCTAAACTTTGTTTAAAGATTAGTCTTATCGGACAGATGATAGTTCGATCACAGTTAATACCTTAAGCTCAAAGCAGATTGCGTTACTTTATATTTTTATCAGTTGCATGAACAGAGAAATAGATTAAGATAAATATTGTAACATGTCTCCTCGTCGGTAAACGGAGTGGTAACTGAAATATTCAATTTGTAAAATGTTTAATTTGTTTGAGTGTCATCCTCTAAAAGACTAAAGATATGAATTGGATTCTCTTAGTACAAGCAGCGTCGTGTTACTTGATGGAAAATAATGTATGTAGTTTCCGAAATTGAGAGCCTTTATTATTTTTATTACTATAGAAGTTTCGATCTAGATAAATTTTACATAAATTATGCTTATTGAAATTTTATGAATAAAAAATTCTAAAAGTAAATTACATATTTGTAGCGAATATATGCTTTTTATAGATATAAATTAAAGATAGTGTGATAAATTTTACGTACCGTTTCGCTTTGTTCAAGACTGACTCACCCATAAACGACTAGTAAGCTATTAGCGTAGACATAACTTCAGTCAGTACCATTAATCTTGTTCACCTTTGCGACATTCTAGTAAATAAACTCTTAGCAACTAATTAATATAAACCTTGACTTATTATAATAAATTATATTTAAATTGTATCAAATTGTAATTGCATGTATTTTATATATTCTTAAACTGATATTACAATTCTAATTAAAGTCTAATATTAAATTACAAATAATTATTCTATTGCAAAGCTCATTATTGTTAATGAATTCAAATATCACATAATTCTTGGTACACTATTTTATTCATATAATTCATTTTTATTACTAGAATAGAAAAATTCAAAGGTATTAAAAAAAAATCGTATACGTTCGATTAATGTTAGATCATGGTATCTGATAATTCACTGATAAAACGATGCCGTCACAACATGTGGTTTGATAACATATCACAGCATAGTGTTGGTAAACACGGCGATTTTATAAAAGCTAAGGATTTATGTATGTAATGTATTTGATATTATTTACGTGTTCAATTCCTATTAACGAACGTATTAATTTTAACGACACTATTACATATTTTAGTATTCATTTCATTTTAGAACATATAAGTTTATATAACATAAAGTTATTAAAGATGAAGTAGATGTCTTCTTAGATATACTTTAATATAATATGCTATAATACCAAAAGATGTCGCTTAAGTGACCCTTTAAATAGAACCTCTAAAGGATAATCTTCTTTCAGACGTTATAGTAGTAATTATTCATGACATGCTCTCGGATTAACATTTAATTTTTTTTAAACACCAAAAGTTTCTTGGTTTGAAAAGAGTCAGTGGTGGCCTAGTGGTTAAAAGTTCCGCCTCTTATGCACGAAAGCGCGGCTTCGATCCTGGCCCGGGAAAGTACCAATGTGATTTTTCCGAGTCATATGTACTTTCTAAGAGTATTTAGACATCACTGATTAATGCTGATTCCCAAAAAGAGGGTTGGTGTCAGGCAGGCGGCCGGTCGCAAAAACAATAAACCAAAGCTATTCACAACATGTTAGGCAGACCCTGGCTAAAGCTGGGAAATTGCCAGGTATAGGATAGACGATCAAAAGTTTCTTGTTATTTTTCCATATGTCTGAAATGTTCAACATTCTTATATATTTATCACAGGATGAATATTTACCAGTAGCTGTTATAGGTAACTTCGTTTGCAAACTTCTATGTTATGATGTGTATTTTTCTATTGCTGAAACTCAATTTGCACTAGACTGAACATCATTTATTTTGCAGCAAGCCTCTTCAAAATTCAGTTTATCCATCGATGAGATTGGCTTTCATAAACAAATTTACTAAAATTAATAAAATAATAAATCACTACATATATAAATTTTTATTTATATAAGTGACGACTGAATTTATTTTAACGTTAGATGTTTGTAAAGTCGAACATTACGTCCGTCTAATTGATTCGTAACAGTATTTATGTTAGTATTTTTCCAGATATCACATTAGCTCACTAAAATTTTACGTAAATACTCAAACAAAGATGTCTTTCATGGTCCACGGCCACAGCAAACCGATAAATAAATTGTGAAATACATCACGGAATATTTACGTACATTACTTATTTGTAATTACGTAAAATATAAATTTACATTTAGGTATGTGGCTGTTCATTAAAGTCGGTGTACTTATGAAAATAATCTTTATGTTTAGCACCAAGAACTTCATAAATTCAATGCGTAGTAAATATTTCCGACATCATTAATTTTATCTAAGGAAAAGGTGCTTAGAAGCCTTTATATTAATAAAGGGACTTGCTCCGATAACTGTAGGGTGGTGTAACAACAAGATGTTTTTGGATAATAATGAGGATTCTAACAACAATTTATTAAGTAATAAAGTACTATTATTTAGTATTGAAGTGATAATATAAATCTTACCGATTTTTATTATTAACAAGATCAGAGCGATATTTATTTTACTTTATAGTTTGATAAGCCAATTTTCATAAACAAATTTATTCGAAAGATTACACTGATGTTTTTGAAAATAAATTGTTCACAGAAATATATATATATATATATATATATATATCTTTATATAAGTTGTGTTAGTTACACTATTTATTTATAACTATTTATAACTCAAGAACGGCTGTAGGGATATGGTTGAAAATTGGTGGAGACAGCTTAGAATCCGGAGACGGACATGGGATATTGAATTCTGTTCGATCAATATGGAAAAAAACTTATTAACTCCAATATTTGGTTATTTATGGCCTCTAGGGCCGAATAGGATTGCTAATTTCGAAATTAACGCGGACGAAGTCGCAAGCTAAAACTGGTATCTAATAAATTGGAAACGGTTTAAAAGATTTGAATTAAGTATGATGTTTAAATAATTTCATTTTCATTGAGGATTAAATAATTTTTTTCTCTCCCTCTATCACATTAATCGGTCAAAGTGTTACACTTATAATATCGTATAAATACAAAGTGGACCATTCCATTACCTTTATCAGATATTATATACATTACAAAATTATTCATTTTCATTATATCTTTAATCAAAATAAAAGTGTATTATCTAACATTTGAAAAGATAAAAATGTTTTTATTTTATTCAGTAAGGAATTTATAGTGATTTTTAAAATGTTAAAAATAAATATATAGCATTAAAAACATGAAAAGTATGTTGTAAGGATATAGTCAATGATGTAATAGATAATTATTTGAAACTATATATAAATATATTTAAATATTCATTTAATATTCATTTCATTATAATAAAATTATTATTTTTAAATTGCAACCAATTAATATGTCGACACATATACTATCCTTGAAATTGTCTCGTTAAAGTGTTTGTATAATTATAGTAATATAATATAAATACTTACAAGTAATCTTTACCTTAAGAAATACATATTAAAAAAATATATACAAAAAACATATCAAAATCAAATCTTACTACTTTTATATTAATGACAGTCTTTAAATAGACAGAGCGGTATAATTTACAAATAACTATATAATGATGTTCAGTTAAAAAATCAATTTGCGGTCAAAACTGTAGAAAAACAAGTAATAATGAATGGTAAAGAGTTAATAGACATTTCGTATGAACACAGTTATACATATAAACGATTCCACCTGCTTGTAATCTAAGACACATTTACTGATTGCCCTAACACCACACTATAAGATTAGCCCAGATGCACGCTATAGTTTATACAATGTTGCCTCCATTATAACGTACATTTTTTAATTTATATTTATAACACTAACTCTCTATATTGTTTTATTCATTTATCGAATATTTCTTACTCTGTAATAGAAACGTGTCCAACACCAAAGATCTCAGCTTTACATAATGTAGATGTTGTATCAGTTGTTTTATAGATTATAATTTTCAGTTATTACAAACAGTTTATTTATATCTATGAATATTTTTCTTCAATAAAACAAAAAAACAATACACTCGGCATCTTTTGTTTTTCTAGACATGATGTCTGTTGTTTTACGCGCTTGTATTGTAGAACGCTTTCGAGTCTGTTCTTACTTTAAAATATTAAAGCCTCGTACTTGACATTCTTATGTGCTCTATTTCGGAGGACTCTTTAGAAATGATAACACTATATTTAGATATAGCAAGGTTATTTGGAATTAATTGCCATCAATGAAGGCTACGAACAGTAAATATTTATTCATATCTCGATTACTGTTTGGCAACTTTAGGAAGAAAAATCTCCAATGATATTATCTAAAGAACTATTACTGTAACACTCTCAAGTGTCATGGAAAGGTATTATTGAACCCTATTTTCGTTGCGAATGTTCTCACGTTCGATTTTAATGATACTCTTTGAGGATGAAGACGATAACATTTCTTTAGAACTTTGATTAATTTTTGTTATTAAAGTTTCCAAGAGACCTGGACATCTGAGAAAGTTATTAGTTTTAATACTAGAGATATTTCATTCACTGTATGTTCCTTGTTCTTTTTCAGTACTAACTTCAATGATATCCTTAGTTATAAGTTTGTACTTGTGTGTTATAATTTAAATTGAGTTTAAATTTTTGGCACTAATAAACTATCGACACTAGTTTATATGTTGTTAATAGTTTAAATACAGGATTTGGAACACAAATTTATAGAAATAACAACATGCAATTCCGTAGTAGATATATTTAATATTTTTATATTCTTATAATAAATCACGAAACAATAATACTTGATTAATATTCTTGTTTTAATTATAACTCTGCTTGCTTAGATTATTATTATTTATCATAACTATACGACAATTCTCAAGTTTTCCATACATTCTTTAAGTTACTATACTCATGCTCATGATTATGTTTTATAAAATATCGTACACCCAATTATTCCTCATTACTTCCCGTCTCAGAAAAAATACATTAGCGTTAACGACTTCAAACACGTACACGTTCAACACTTCAAATAGTTTAATGTAAATTCTTGGCGTAAACAAACAATAAATTATACATGTAACTGTCAATAAATATAATTGAGAACAATGGAGTTGAATTTTATTATAATAACCGTGACGAAGTGAAACGTACCTATAACATAGGAATAGCCGTCCAAAGTGAGAACGCATTTCCTCAACGCACCGGACACGGATCGATGTCTGTGTGTCCTTGGTGCTGCACCCAGAGCCCTACCCCCGCCTGGGTCACTATGACATTTGTGCACCAGCTCCTTATCATTAGCAAGGTTGCTACTCCCATCCACAGAGCCCTGCCTGCTGCCCTCCAGCAACGCTTTCCCTCGTCGCATCATCACATCATACGCTACCTCCACTTCAAAGTTTAAGCACTTCACTGTTCAACCAATCACTGTAACCAAGTACTTGAACCAGTTCAACCTCAGTTCACAGATGTACCGCAACTAAATTATATTAAATTTAACACACATAATTGTATCCCTCTAGCGTATTCTCTCTTAGTTTTTATTTACGATACTATTGTAATTTAACTAATTAATTGTACATTTTGAAGCGTAATATGTACATATATTAATATTTGTACAAGAGTCCAACTTAACTTTCAACTTAAGAATGATTAAATATACCATTTATTTTAAATGAAAATTTATATCTGTCTCCCTAACGTTGTGATTTGCAAATAAAAGTAAAGCAATTACTATGAGGGACTCATGTACGTTTTTGTTTAAAAAACTATTATATTTTCTGTAGATTTCAATTTAATTTATTAATCAAGTATTCTGAGAACATCTAATTATACTTGTTAAGTGGAATATTATGTATTTATCCATGCAATTGGTTGTGGTATGAGGAATTATGAAATTATATATTCAAATGGGAATAATCAACATTTATGATATTAAATTATTTTACAATTAAATATAACATCTAAGAAACGAGAGATATTATGAATTTTATTGTCTATTTTATCGTCATCTTTCTGTGCTAGTAATTGCACAAGATATTTAATAATCTCAATACTTATATTTATATATAATTGGTGTTCATTATATGGCGTCAGACATAAACAATTGATTTATGTATTTTATATTTTCATTTCAACGTGATTATATTACTTATTAAGACTAGAAATTATTAGTCGATTGAGTTGGTTATTGAGGACAGTTTATTTATCTATCCTAATTTATTATCAAAATAAACAGGCTCTTTACATTATCAACAGCGTATTCTGTTGGGGTGAATAATGATATACAAATATTAAACATATCAAGAAGGTGTCGCTGGGTAGAAACGATAGCTTTACATATTGTGGTCTACAATACGGAAATCTATGTATATTCTGTTGTTTTCCGCCACAGTAAAGCAGACAGGGCGCTCATAAAACATTGCGTCATGTCACAGGGATGGGGCGCCCCCCCATGTGTAAACAGATTGTGACGTTGTCTGTTAGACTATACCAAATCGCGAACAACAGGTGGTCAAATACGACTAGAGAGATACAAAACATATAGTTGTAATAAATTAAAAAAATAAAAAAAAATAAGAGTCATTAAATTTGAATTTTTAGTACTAGTTTTTCTTACATTTCACACTTCACGGATCGGACTGGTGCGTTCGGGCACTGTTCAAGGCGGCATAACGCTACCACGCGACCGTATCGCGTGGAAGCCTGCGCGCGACTGCTGTCCTCCGAGCCACATGTTCTGCTACAGGTAGCTGATTACAATGGGTCAGTCCAAATTCCAAATTTAAAATCCCAGGGGTAACTTAACGGTTTCCAAAAGCGAACGGGGATTTTTCCTCTCTCCGCAATGTCAATTTGGCGCTGTCGCAGTTTTATTTTGACGGTCAAAAAACTTTGTAGAAGAGATCTGGAGATCTTTAAAATATTTTTTTGAGAAATACTATAAAAAAAATTATATTACCTTCTTTTATTCTGTGTACAGCTTTAAATATTAATATATAACTAAAGTAAATAACATAAAATATTTTTAAATAAGCCTCGCAGTTTTATTTATACTTTTACAAAGAGAGCTGGTTCTAAGAAGCTTATGAATGAAAAGCTCATATTATCTGATAACAATGAAAAATCTAAGATTATTTTTGTGGTTCCTCGTAATATTTAATAGTTATACGTTTTATCTTATATTTTGGGTGCGGGTTCTCATACAATGGATCACCGAATGAATACGCACATATTATTAGGTATATCTTTATTATAGTCATGGTATTTTCATATTCTTACGTAAAATTTTTACACATTGTAGTTAACATTCGAATTGGAATTTTTTGTTTATATTATTTTTAATTAAATAGATATAAGAATTATACGTTTGCGTGAATCTAATCCGAAGTAATATTTATTTTAAATGAATTTTTAAAAATCTGATACTTATAGAAATTTATGAAATCATACTATAAATGTATTTTTAAATATTAATATGTAGTTAATTCATAAGTAATTTTTTTAATTATTATTAAAAATCTCGCCTAGCGAGTCTTTGTCATTAAAAACTTTATCGCTACAATTTTTTTCATCCCCACTGCCATTATAATCAATATTACTTCACAAAAACCTTATTAAAGATGCATAAACTCCGAGTAACTTAATTAACAAGAAATTTAAAATTTCATTGATAACTCGTTATTATTCAAATTGTTTCATGGTTTTCAATTTATTTTCATATAATTTCCAACATAATAATTTTGAAAAGGAGTTTCATATTACAATCATAAACAATTCAGAATAATCTTAAACATCCTCCGTATCATCTCATTTTCATCCACCTAATCTGTATTACATAAACAGAATATTTAATTAGAGTAGAAGTTTAGAAGAGGAATATACTTTTTCATCCACGTATGTATATTATATGACTGTGTTTCATCCCTTAAATTAATCCCAAATTATATAGAAACTTGTTTGTACCGGTGCCACGTACATAGTTTTGAAGGTCAAATTAGAAATCACTATTTTCCTAAAGCATAACAGAGGAGCAGAAATAATTCTTCAAGAAAAAAAGATTGTTAATGAATGGAGCATTTAGTAAGTGGTTTTGACAAATTGTTGAAAGACTAATTCGCGAAGTCCCACATGATTCCTCAGAATGCTTCAAAGACAAAAAGTTCAAAGTACTGTCTAAACCCGATTTTATCCTGCGTGTCTCAAGAGCTATTCGACCAACACAGTTGGGGCCTTAGAGACGATGTAAAGTGGGGTTGCGGGTGCAAGCGCAATGATGTACCGCGGCCTGGCTCGGAGCAGGAGTAGGTACGGGGGGTTTTTAGTCAGTAAGAGTCTAACACTCTCTCTTGTCCCACCCAGGACAACAGAGGTCATTTGATGATTTTTTTCTTTAAAAAAAACATTTATGATATGTATATATATTTGATGTGATATTTTTTTTCATCCAGTTTTTGTTATGTTAATTCATTTTCCAATACGTCGACCAAAACCCACAATAACAGATTAATTAATTGGAACGTTTTATATCGTATAAGTTCATTGTGTCATTGAGAGAAACAAACAGTGTGCTGTAGTTCACTACACAATGGGAATCCACTCGTGGCTATAAAGACGCGCTAATTAAAGATATTTATTAATTAGTAGGCGTTGTTTAGTATCTTAAAATACTGAAAAAAGGCATGGTCTCTAGTACATAAATTGTTTGGAAAACTTTTATTTATCTTTGAGAGACTGAATAATACAAGAATTTTTTAAATAGATTGTATAAAAATAAAACAATAGCAGTTATAGTACCTTCTTTGTCAATATATATTTTGATAAAATATATTTTTATCTATTTCTAATAACTTAAGGACAGTATATATTTAAGAAGTGAGTGTAATTAAATAACTCTAGATACGTTTCATTCATATGTAACGGTATAAACAATTTGCTGGCTAGAAATTTTTCCGTTTAAAATTTATAGCGGTTGTATCTTCTTTACTTTGCTTTTTTGGATGTATTTGATATTGAATTTCAGTCGGTTTCATAGCAAAATGTCCGTCAGTCTAGACTTGTGATTTATATTTTTGAAAATTTAAAGCGAAACTGTATTTACGTAATTGTTTTATTTCTCACGCTTGACTTGGCTTGCTATTGTAAATGAAATGTTACAGTTTACTGTTGTAGCAAAAACTTTTAAGTTTTCATATAAACTGATTTGTATTTTGCATATTTTAAACTCGCTTAGGTCACTGAGAAATTGTGTTACTAAGAAATTATATTAAATGGAATATGTATTTAACGTAAACATAATATTTCATGCTAGTGTGTTAATAATGTAAATAGAAAATCAGGGAGAAAGCATCTCTAATAGACATTATGTTTGTTATTATTTTTATTGTGTGATGTATTGTAGCTTAATTATCAAGAATGCTTAGTTAAGAAAGGAAATGTATGACGATTGACATTTTATTTATGTCAGTTTTCAAACACAAAGTATAATTTGAGAATATATTTCTAACTTTTATATTTTACATTTTATTTACTTAGTAATGTAAATATATAATAAAAATTTTAATCATTTAAGTATTCCGTTTAAGTAATTCATGACTCCTTACAAATGTTTCAGGTTTAAGAAATGAATTTGAGTATATCTCGAAATAAAAAAAAAATACTTGTCGCTTGAATTAAATCATTAACTGTAGAAATTTCAATCAACAGTTAGAGACTCATCAAGGGCCATCACTTTGCTAACTCTGAATAGAAACACAAGTTTCGGTAACGAGACTTTATCGACAAGTTACTAAAACGTTTCAATAAATTGTCGTATTATCAAAGTAAATTCTTCGGTGACTTTTGTACGTTTACGCGCCAAGTGAGTTAAGTAAGTTCTCTTAGATACTCAAATTGTTTTAACTTAGGCTTTGAGTGTAACATCTTCAGGTTTCGAGTATTTTTTCATTTACAATTTATTAATAAAATGAGAGATGGCACTTGCCATTGTTTTGAAAATAGTTCATAATTTATGACCAAAAAAAAAGGTTTTGTATATTGATAGATTTTATGTATACTCGTAAGGTCTGTTCAATAGTTATTAACTAACAGTAGTTTTTTTTGTCTTTATGTTTTAAATAAATGTGATAAAGCTAGACTTATATAAAATAAGTCTCAAGTGTACGTCACACAAAATACACAATAATGCTATAAGCTAAATGGTAAATATGAATTTTATTACAGTTTAAATATCACTAGTATGTAAACAGCTTAATTGCGCCGTTGCGTGTTAAAGCCACATTTCACCTCGCTACAACATGCGGTACAATTTGTTTTATCGCTATAATAGATAAAGTGCTCCCGGAATTTCCCAACCATTTCAGCGGGTTTACAGGAGTCTTGAAAAGGTTCGATAGTATGACCCGGAAGCTTGGGCGCTTGTTATTTTAATTTGGCGATGCGGAAACTAATACAGTAATTTTACTAACATTTTTTTAAATTATACGAAATGGAAATATTGCTGAAATGCAAAACAAGCTTAATATAACTGTGTTCGATATCAGCAGTATTGTAGAAACATTTGAATTTAAATAATTGTACACTTGTATAATTAATTTAAACTACTATTGACACAAGTCAATACGAATTATCTGTCTGTGACAGTTATATACAGGACGTCTCTTGTAATATTATGATTTAAATTAAAATGTGGTTGGATAATTTTTCAGTGTTTTTATTTTGTGTGTTTCTTTTGATTTTTTGTTAGATACTTTATACTAATTTTGTCTTCAAATTTATTTAGATTTTACAGATTGAAATCAATTCTTGAATATTTCGAATTAATTGTAGTTAATAATTAAAATTACTTTTAAGTGAAACTAATATTTTCGGATTTTACTTCGCGTTTTATTTTTGATTAGAAACTACATACTCCCGACGTTTCGGCTACTTTTCAGCAACCGTGATCACGGGAGAGAGGCAGACTCACATCTCGTCTGAGTATGTAAATTCTAATCAAAAATAAAACGTCAAGTAAAATCCGAAAATATTAGTTTCATTTAAATGTGTACTCGCGAAAATCTTAGATCTCATTAAAATTACTTTTATTCATTATATGAATAATTTATATGTACATATTTGTAGTAATTACTTCTCTGGTATGGTTTTATTATGTGCTTCGTTTATACCTTTATATGTTCTGTTGCAATTTAATTATGTATTTCAACAAGCCTGAATGTTCACGTATATTTAATTAATGAAATTACCAAATATATCGATATGAAGTTAGTTAAATTGTTTATAGCTGGCTATCTAATTAAGCGATGCAGGTTTAATTTATATTAACATTTAGAATGTTTTAAACATAAAATTTTTGATTATTTCTTATTATTTATTACTGAGAATTAATGAAAGAAGTTTTTTTTTAAATCATACTGTAGTCTTTAGAGACAACACATTGATTTTAAACTATTCTAATAGCATATTTTTATTATAAGATCAAAAAAGAAGTGATTATGGAAAGATTACTGTCGCCTTATTCTTTTCGTATACATTTTTGTCATCACAAAGGGATATTACGTTTCCAATACATACAGGAAACACTTATCATAATTGCTAAAAAAAAAACTTTTATATATACCTTACCTTTTTAAAAAAATATATAAGCTACACGAGTAAATAAAATAATAATATTAATATCTCAAACCTCAAATCATGTTGAAAAATACTTTACTAAAGAATTTAAGTTGTCTTACCAATAGTGTATGTGGCGCCATCTATCTGAAAAGTCGCGCTCTTGCATTTCTTGAAAATTTTCCCGCTCACTATTTGACGCGTGGCGCTACCATGCGTAGAGGGATTCGAAACAATTTCACGCCTCGCCACGGCGCTAGTGTCAAATCGATTCCGCAACTCTTCAAACGACAAATCGCTTGATAAATCTGGTGATTTGTCACGCACCCGACCGCACAGCCCTATAGGAATGTTCTCAGCCTCTTTTTTGTCCATTTTGCTCAGATTAATTCACGGCACTGTCACTTATTTATATGATTCACTCATCGTCACACTTATTGAGTCACTTTAAAATTTTAATTAGTCGGAGTAGATTATCTTATTTTTAACAATTATGCAAAAAAAAAATTGTGAAAAAAGTTTAAAGCAAAAATTAACAAAAAAGGACCAACGTTTCACATAGTTTATAAACTCAACCTTGGAGCGCTTCAATAATCTTGCTAAATTTAGCTCAATGGTTTCTGAATTGTTTTTGTTTGCTCTTGCTAAACCTGACTGTACTACGTCGGATCAGCCTTTGATATATGTTTTGCTTATTATAAAATACCTTTTGTATACACTAATGTAGCTTTAATTTATAGCGTACGGTATTTGTTGTGTGTCAGTCATCTTGAAGATCACATGCCATAATGCTATGACCGAAAGTCACAAGCGTTTGATAAAATAATTATATATAAAAATATACTAACGCAGAAAGTAGTGATATTATTCAAAGAAGTTTAAAAGGCTTTATTCCCGTTAGTTGAAAAATGAAGTATCTTTTGAAGAGAGCTCCAAGCTTGGCTCAAACAAATCCTACACAAAAGACTATCTTCGTTTCACAAACTTTCCTGCAAAGGATTTTTTTATACCTATTTTTACTTCTGTCTCTATAAACCTTCTACATCCTACTTGCAAAGTTGAAAAGAGTATCGCTTTCTGTAATAGGTTCCCGGATATTGTAAGTTTTTGAAACAAGAAATTTACCTGATGTAATTTCAATAAATTATTACATTTTGTTTGCTTGTTGTTGTTTTTTAAATTGAATTAAACGAAATACTTTTTCATACTACTGTGTTTTGATAATAGGCAATTCAAACATATATTTATTTCTTATATATTCTTTATCGAAGATAAGGGTCTGTGAAGATGTCAAAGGTAAAACTGACTTCTACTTCACCGCATTCAGTTTAAAGAGAACCATTATTTTCCTTATGCTTATCAGACCAATTCATTATCATTCTACCGTGATAAAGGAATTTAAATAAGTAAATTATAAACCCTTTTCTTTAAATAACAGTATCAATTTCGTACAGATATTATTGTTTTTCATTCTTTAACTAAATAAAGTAGTGAAGAATAGATATGTTTATTAATTACAAGTGTTCTTGTTAACAGATATAGCATAAGCATTGTTTAAAAATATTTTCCATCTTATAAAATATTATTTACGAGTCAGTTTATTAATAACTTGATGTCGGATTGCGTAATACGATGTACTAGTGTACGCTGTATTAATATTCGCTTCGAGAGTTTATATAATTATAAAAATATGACAAATATGAAATGTTAAGCTCATTTTATTATTATGTAAATTAAATTTAAACGAAGGGTGTTGAATTTGCGTTGAATCAATGACTATTATTCTTAATATAAAGGATGAATAGTAAAAAACAACAAAACACAAATAATAATAAAAATATGAAGAAAAACTTGTCTTTAATCAACAATGTTATCGGGCATTATGAATGAATATTTTGTATATTTTTGCTATATTATTTTTTATACAAACGCTTATCAGAAATAATTAAAAACGGATTCTGGGTGGTATACTCAGGATTAATTCATTAATCATCAGGTTTAAAATTTTATTTACGAGAAATATAATCTGTTTATAAAATATAAAATTATGACTAAGAATATTGTTCTGTAAATATAAAGAGGATTTTTTAAAATGATAAATTTGTTTCCTTTGCTATCAATAGTCAGCGAAACGTGTAAATTAAACCATTTAAAATGTACAATGTAAGTGTGCAAAGGTAATAAATTATTATAGCATTTTACTCAAGTACACACGAAAGAATGTAAAATTTTAGTTACAATGATGTGAAATGGGTCTAAACAGTAATAAATAAAAACTAACTATATCATTATTTCATACGCTCGTTAGTTTTGAACTGTTTCCATTTTTTGTCATAATTATAAGAGAAAAGAAAAATATAAGTAAAAAAAGTGGTTTTTGTAGGAAGCAGGTGTGGGAGGAATAAAGATTATATGTAATTAAAGCGCCGGGTTTGGGATAAATATTTCTAGTTAAAATTAAACCACAGAAATGTTTGTGATTTATATCACAAACATTTCAAATTAATATTATTATTAAGGTTATTTTATCTTTTAAAGCTTTGAAATTAGCCGACTATTGAAATAGAAAAATATACCCAATTAGGTGTTATTTTAATGTCTTATTTGATCTATAAGCTATTTTTATGGAATTATCATCACTTTTTAATAACCTTTAAATGGTTAACATTTCATTAATTAAGGGTATTTAAATCATGAATTTTAATTTCAAAATTCTACTCCTTGTACGAGGACTCAGCTCTTTAAAACCGATTATATTTCATAATAATTATACAATAAAGCTAATAGTACTTAAAAAGTCCTAGATAACTCTTAAAGGGATGGATAGTCATTAAAAGTAAAAAAAAAACTCTTAATACCTTATAAACTTCATAACATTCTAATATTATTTATTTTGCACTAAAAGGATATAATTCAATGGTGGTTTTACTTTTCTGTATCATTTATTATCTTATTAGTGTCGTTTACTTGAGTTTTGTTCCAGCTATTATTCTTACTTTAGTGTCGTCGGCTGACACCACGGTACAACCATTTAAGTTTTTATCTTAAGAAATATTTCTTATATAATAAATATTTTTATATTTTATGTTTATTGTAACAAAAGATTAAAGAGTAATAACTCAAGATTAAATAAAGGATAAAAAAGTTTTTGATTACGTCATTGAAGATAATTCTAATATTCTATTAACGTTTATTACTTGAACGATCTGTTTCAATAAGTTATATTTACTAAAGTTTCTACCTAGTACGACTCTTTATTACCTTTGAGCGTTTTAACTGTTACAAACAGCACTTTGATTGCTTGAAACAGAGCACTAGTTGTTGATTGTTACCTTTATAAGGGCATGGACATACTATTACAATAATATTTTTAAATTAGCTCCTAAATAAAATTTGATTATTTTTAAATATCACTCTATTTTTAATTAAAAGTAGCGCTTAATCTACAGACCAAAGAGAAGTAAGTACTTTGCGATTCACTGGTAGACCAAATGTTTCGGATCTCGTGATCTACTTTTCATACCAGCGCATTAATTCCTACCACGTTCCAAGTCAAAACAGGGCTCTCCATTTACGCTTCTGGCGTGTGGTATGGCATAGAAAGGGTTATATAATCTTTAAAATCTTACAAAGCTACTGCAAACAAAATAAGTTCGTGCTACAATATTATTCCTTTGTAACTACTCCTACATTGTTCTGAAGACCACTTTTCTATAATAAAGATATTCTAGAGCATAAACAAATATCCAAAATGTAATATTATTAACTTATTTTGTATTATTTTTAAGCGTAAATCTTATTTCTTCTGTACTATACTTTATAATAACTGAAGAGTAAAAGTTAACAATTATTTTGCAAGTGTTAATAAACGACTTTCATCGACACTTAATTAGTTTTCAAACTTAATTTAAACACTTCAACGTTACCTCGTTTGAGTCTAATAAGAACGTTTGTAGTCTTATCGTTGTATAATTGAGTTTAAAATATTAGATATTTATAATAAAGAGCAAATTTCAAGAGAAAATCTAACTTTTATGCAAAATTTAACTTTTACCTGATGGAATTTACAAAGTAAAATCTATTCAAACATGAAGTTCATATTCATGTGATAACTATTACAAATTATGCCGTTATTATTGAATCTTGAAATACATTAATAATTAAAGATCAATCTGCGTGTTACGTATGATGTCAGACAGATATCAATTTACGTAAATATGTTGACTTCAGAGAGAGATTTACCAAATTTCAGCGGTTTAGAGAAGTATGAGTACCTGATGGAGAAAATGACAGATATACTCGTACCAACACGACAATAAATTAATTTACACGTTTCGTTTTATTACAATGTTAGTACATATGATAAGAATAAAATGTTGTTATAAAAACATTACCGAGATAATATTAATGTATTACTCGTGAGGCTCGGGGAAAGCCTTTATTGTCGTGGCCAGAAACTAGTGAACATAAAACTATCGTTTATTAGATTTGCCACCGGGGACAGAGATGAAAAAATATTTCTCACGCAACCAAACTTACAGGTACACAATAGATTAGACAGACTGCCCTATTTGCAATATAATTTCTTAAAAAAATATTTTTGTATTGTATTTCTTCTTCTTCTTCCTGGCAACCTCCCAGCTTTAGCCAGGGTCTGCCATTTTTGTATTGTATTTAACCAATGGTAAATATATGTATCTGTATAGTTTCTTTCATTTATAGTTACATTAGTACAGGATTTACAAAAAAAGAGTGACCTTAATTTTACTTCTGATAATAATAAGCAATGAAGAAAACTCTCATTTAGTTTTTTATTTTATTTTTTTATTTTAAAAGCGAGTCTGCTGTTTGCACATATTTAATATAAAGAACGGTTCATAGCACACTTCACGGGCAATAAGTGCTATGGCACGCGGTTCTGAATGGGATGTTGTCACATAGAGCTTAAAAAATATTGTTTCACGCGATTGATCCTGCGGTTTATTAATACATGAATATTTAAAACTTCGTATATTATATGTATTATAAGGATAAAGTTATATCTATGAATCGTGTCATCATATTTCTGAAGTGGTTAGTTTTAGTGACGTCTCCGCGAAATGTTACCTAATGGTAGCCATATTTACAATTCTGTGGCATGTTGAGCACTGAAACCACAGTCTCGTGGAGTAATCAGTGCGAACGTAATTCACCCATACAAAGGAATATTTTGCAAATTATTTTCAACTCATTGTCGCTTGTTACTAGTTAAAATTTATAAGTAGTAACGGTACATAGTTATTTTTTTTTGCATATATAAATACATACATTGATGTATTTATGATTTTAGTGATTTATTTCTGTTTAAATTTGGACATGATGTGTCACATTGTCCC